ATTACTTTTTAAATGAGATATGTTTCAGGATCATTTTGTTTCAGAAATTTTTATTCTACAGGGTGTCCCAAAGGTCACCATACATAGGAAAGTTATTTTTAATATTTTTTACACTTACATTATTAACAGAGCACTACAAAGTCATTTTTAATATTTTTTAATATTTTTTACACTTATATTAACAGAGAAATATTTTGTAATGAATATTTTATAAATAAAGGTACATTCAGTTACAATTTCCAATTTACCTATGTAAGTATGTATGGTGACCTTTGGGGCAATCTATATTTTCATAATAAAACGCCATGTCCCCAAGGAAAAAGAATTTTTTTTTGTAGCAATGTGGTTAGAAGATGAGGGGGGAGAATTTATATATTTATAGTTTGTTATATTAACCTTTTAATTTACAATTTCTAGTTTTTTTATATGTTCCTATCGATTTGAATTACTGTGTGATATCATTTCCTTACTTCAATAGAGCTTTGCTTCTACCTACTTCCTCTGTTCTATTATTGTCAAATATATTACATTTTTATTTGGTCCTATAAGGCCCCCAGACAAACTATAAACATAGTTTTAGATAGCTGCTTTTTAGATCAGTTTAGAGAAAAAAGAAGAAATATGTAATTAGACTATATTAATCATGTTCACCTAGGGTCTGCTTTTTTTTATATGAATTCAGATGACTGTCTATGATTTCCCCTGCTTCTAGTCTGAAGAACTTCTTTTAGTTAGGTGTACTAGCAAAAAATTCTTTCAGTTTCTATTTATCTACAAATGTCTCTATTTCACTCCATTTCTGAAAGACAGTTTTCCCAGATACTGTCTTCTTGGTTGACAGTTCTTTTCTCCAGCCCTTTGAAAACATTATCCAATTGGCTAGGATGCCTCTATTTTTTTCTGTTAAGAAGCCAGAATTTCCCTGGTGCACAACAATCATTTTTCTCATATTACTTTCAAGAATTCTCTTTGTTCTTAGCTTTCCACATTTTTCCTATAATGTTTCTTCATGTGGATCTCTGTGGTTATTCTACTTGGGAGATTATTGAGATTCTTGGATGTGTAGATTAATGTTTCTCATCAAAATTGGGATGGTTTCAGTCATCATTTTTTTTTCTGTTGTTTTGAAACAGAGTCTCACTCTGTCGCCCCAGGTAGATTACAGTGACATCATCAAAAATCACTGCAACCTCAAACTTCTAAGTTCAGGCCACCCTCCTGTCTCAGCCTCCTCAGTAGCTAGGACTATAGGCATGCACCACCATAACCAGCTAATCTTTCTATTTTTAGTAGAGGTAGGGTCTCACTCTCCCTCAGGCTGGTCTTGAGCTCCTGAGCTCAAGTAATCCTCCTACCTCAGTCTCCCAGAGTGCTAGAAATAGTCATGGCCTCATTATTTCTTACAATATATTTTCTGCTTCCATTCCTTCTGGTATTCTCCTAATGTGTGGTGGTGCACTAAATGGTGTTCTACATTTCTTTAAGGTTCTATTCATTACTTTATTATTTTTTTCTCTATGTCCTTGAGATTGAATAATCTTCATTGATTTATCATCAAATATTCTGATTCTTTCTCCTGCCAGCTCACATCTACTATGTACTATAACTTTAGTGTTTTTTTTTTTCTTCATTTTGGTTAATATACTTTGTACTCCAGAATTTCCATTTTTTAAAAAGTCTTTTTATTGATAATATCTATCTGATGAAGCACTTTTAAATCTTCCTTTATTTCTTTAAGGATGGTTTACTTTAGATTTTTGGGCTTTTTTTTTTTTTTCAGAGGCAGAGTCTCACTTTGTCGCCCTTAGAGTAACATGGCCTCACAGCTCACAGCAACCTCCAGCTCCTGGGCTTAGGCGATTCTCTTGCCTCAGCCTTCCGAGTAGGTAGGACTACAGACGGGACTACAGGCACCTGCCACAATGCCAGCTATTTTTTGTTCCAGTTTGGCTGGGGCTACGTTCAAACCTGCCACCCTTGGTATCTGGGGCCGGTGCCCTACTCACTGAGCCATAGGCATCGCCCAATTTTTGGACATTTTATACTAACTATTTTGAAGTCTTTGTTTCCTAAGCCCTATATATGGGCCCTTTCAAAGGCAGTTTCTGTTCCTGCTTTTTTTCTTGTGTATGGCTTCCTGTTTCTTTACATGCCACCTAAATTTTTGTTGAAAACTGGATATTTTAGATAATACATTGTAAGAACTCTACATACTGATATCCTCCTCACCAGGACTTGTTTTTGTTTATTCGATTACTTGGCTGGACTATTTCAGCGAAGTCAATTTTCCCCACAGTATGCAGCCTCTGATGATGTTCCTCAGAGAGAATAGCCTTGGACAGGTCCACTATCATCCTGGGAAGATCGTGTTTTTAGCAGGAGTCTCATCAACTATCTCTTTCTAGATCTGTTAAGTGTCTGCCTTTGTTGGTATCATACTCTCAGATGCTTGCTCCACTAATGTCCAACTGGTTGCTCTACAGCTTTGTATAAGGCCTGAGGCATAAATTGCTCTATAGACTCATCCAATTAAATTGAACCCCCTTTTCATGTGGTCTTTGAAGCAAATCTTTGAGACCAGCTCCAACACTAGGAAGGTTCTTTTTAGCTATAGCTGTCTTTGGTTCTTGCCATTAAAACTGTTAGCTAGTTTATGGCTTAATATCTTATTCTTTTTAAGCTAATAGCCTCCTCTTAATTGCTTAGAACCAAAATCACCACTGTTTTTTGAGAATGCCCTTAGTCTTGAATTTTCCCATACTCTGTTTCAAATAACATCAGTTTTCTTGGGAAGAACTATGGAACATTGTATTCTTATAGTTTCCCCCCTCCCACCAGCAAAACTTCTGCACCGGTTCCAGAATTGGCAGTGAGAACACAGGTACACTTCTTTGGGAGTGAATCCCTACCTTACCAACTGAGTGCTAAGCAGAGGTGGCCTTTGATCTACTTAGCTTGCCTTTCCCAGTGTGGAACCTCCTTCCTACTAGACATATGGGCCAAGGACAAATGAAGCCTAGAATTCTCACCCTGTCCTGCCTGGGGTAAAATTTCCACTCAACAGATTGGGCTGGGAGTGGGGAAAAAGGGAGCTCCAGGCCTATCAGCTGTCCTTATCCGGACTAAAGCTTCAGCAACATGGAACTGAGTGAATAAGAAATGATGGCAACCTATCTTTCTTGGGGAGATATTATATGCTTAAAATGGAAGCTGGAGGTGGGGAGATTTGTGCTCTTAGCTGTATCCACCTTGAGTCTCAAATGCCATAATCCCTCACATTTCTTACAAAGATTTAGTAGCTGGAATAAATGTTTCTTTGCTTGCTGTATATCCTTCAGACAATTTCTAATAACTTTAAATGGTTGGTTTCTTAAAATAATTTTGAATATTTATGGTTATTTTTCTGGAGGAAGGTCTGAAGAGCTCTACATGTCACCATTCTGTACAGTGGAGTCAGCTTCCGTTTAAGCCTCTCTTTTAACCAAGTTTGAGATTTTTAAGTATTCAAAACCATGCAGAACATTGCTAAATATTTTGTGAAGATCTTTAATTATCTACCAATTGTATCTCAATTTTCCCTTTTCATTTTCAAGGCAATTGCCTTAAATAAGTTCTGCATCATTTCTTGCCTTAAGTATTTCACTATCCTCCTAACTAATCTGCCATCTTAATTTTCTCCCCCATCCAATCCTACTAATGGAGTGAACTTCTATGCTACACTCATGCTATATTCCCTTCCTTTTTTCAGACTTGTGAATTTATACTTATTCCTACTTATTCCTCAAAGGACTGATTTTTCACCTTATTTCAAACAGCTATCAAACTCAGTTGACTGAGTTGAAAATGAAACGTTAAGTCAGGAATCAATAAACACTTGTTCAATCAATTACTATGTCTCTTATAAAGCCCCTTTGGTATATTTTTGTTTCTATTCTGGGCTCAAAATAAAAAAAATATAAGAGATATTAAGATACTGTTTGGTTTGTTGAAAAACCCAGAGTTGGTATTAAAATAATATTATAGAGTTATAGTTGCCATTCTACTTAAATAAATAAAGCCTAAAATTATACATATTCAGGGAGAAGCCTTCCCTGCAAAAGGAGGGAGTATCTAGGTAGCCAGCTCATAATTTTGAGAAAAAACTATTTAGATTCTAGGCTATGTGTTCTGGGGGGGGGGAAAGGAAGTATTTATTACCAAATATTTATTTCTGTAAGAAAAAGGGAAGAAGAATATTCTGAAAGAATTCCCTCCTTCGACGCCCTTAGTGTCAAGGATCTTTGTAATAGACAATAAGGTAAAGAAACTGAAATGTCAAAAATGTGGCAATGTGAGAAATATATTACTTTGCTCAGGAATATCTAGCAAAGGTCCCATTAAATTTATAAACTAGATATAATCAAAAAGGAAATTAATGTTGTTTCTTACATTTTCCTTTTTTAGGTAAAACATCGAAAGCTAATAACAAAACCACTGAAAAAGATGTATTATTCAATAATAAAAAATAAACATTTAGATTCTGATTCCTAAGTTAATTTCTTTAACATTTAGATGCATTACATACAGATGCTCTGTTTATATAATAACATATTCATAAAGAGTAGTATAAGCTAGGTAATTAAATTTATATTAACTGTCAGGCTTGTCAGTGTACAGTATGAGAACAAGCAATAAATCTAACCCTTCTTTCCCATTTCATTTTATCTAAGGATTAACCAACAATAAAAATACCTATTTAAAGAAGATCTACCCCAGATTTTCTGGCTCTGAATTTAAAATAATATTAATTATTAGACTTGTTTCTCAGTGTAAAAGAATATTAACCAGATCTCAAAAAGCTGTTTTTCTGTATAACATTTGCAAAATGTTGTTTCTAACGTGCTTCTTTGAACAATGTAAATGGTATATTGCTTTCTGGTCAATACCTCTGGAGAAGCCATGTTTTTCAGAACAAATGCTCTATGCTCAAGGGCTCCCAGGACTTCTCTCCTTATACTGACCTGAGGCAGTCATTTGAGCTAGGAAGAGCAGGTACACAGAGGTAGCATCCAACTGAAGGTGTCCCCACTGGTCATCACCTACTACAGTGGCACAAGTCTTGGTGTTATACTTGGCATGGAGGCTATCCTTAGTACTTTGACTATATTTGAAGGATTCTACTTTATCCACCTGGAAAAAAAAAACATTAAAAGAATGATATGTAGAAAAATAAACCCATCTACCATGCTTCTGTAATATATCATTGCAATGTGAAAATACATTGTTTTCAAGTAATTTGTAAAAACTTAAAATACAGTATTACCTCTTTTTCCTTAAATAATACAACTAGGAAAGTCAGTTATTGTTGCTTTACAATTTGATAAATTTAATTAGAAAACAATACCAAATAGTCAAAACCAATTATTTCCTATTCATTGCCCTTCTTTCACTTTCAGGTGGCTGCTTTGCCACACTGTAGATATATACTGAGACTTAAACCATTTGAGTGAGAACAGCTTAGTACCAAATAACAGAGTGTGAAATGATGTATTTGTTCCTAAAACTAGGGTAGGAACGTTAAGGGAAATTAGAATAAGAGGATATATTTTGAAAGAGTTATGAAAAGAATTGGTGTGGTTTGGCACTCATAGCACAGTGGTTACTATGCCAGCCACATGTACTGAGGGTGATGGGTTCGAACCTGGCCCAGGCCGGTTAAACAACAATGACAATTGCAATAATAACAACAACAAAAAAATAGCCAGGCATTGTGGTGGGTTCCTGTAGTCCCGGCTACTTGGGAGGCTGAGGCAAGAGACTTAGTTGAGCCCAGGAGTTTGAAGTTGCTGCGAGCTGTGACACCATGGCACCCTACTGAGGGTGACAAAGTGAGACTCTAGAGCAGGTGAGAGATAAACAGAGGAACAGAGAAAAAGTATAACATAAAACTGAAACTAGAGGTCAGAAGGGAAATATTGTGCAAGGGACGACTAAAAGACTTAGTTCATGAAACTGAGATTTGATTATATATGCTCTGATACAGGATAGTAAGGAATAAAAATAAAATCCTAAGCTCTCTCCAACTCCGTTGACTGAAAAGACACCTTTTTGGGCCAGGGAACCCCAGCGAAACCTTGAAACTGAATTCTCAGCTATGACAGGATGGGAGTTCAGACATGCCTCTTTATACCTCTTCCCTACTTAACCACCATTAAGCTTTATTCCCTAAGGCTAAACAGAACCAGTCCTTTGGAAAGACTTGTTCCACCCCTGATTTCAATCAACTGCCTAATGGCCTAACACTGCTCCTCCCTTTGTGCCTTTCTAGCACAACTGACCAGCATCTGTTCCTGATCCGGGACCACCAACCATTGAGTGGTTCAAAGCAAACTAGAGTCTATGCACGGTAAGGGTATTCATGGCCTCTGTTTCACCTTTTGACGTCAAAGGGCCGAAAATTCCATCCTTGGATCATGCTAACACCTCCGTTTTTTGTACATGTCACCTATGAATGGGCATGAAGCTCAATTGCACACATGCAGGTTTCTCCTTTCATAAATATTCATGATACCTCCTATACCTTGTAAAAATATAAATATTTGTCCATACTGCTCAGCATAAATTCCTATTACCATAGTCTGAGGTTGGCTTTCCAGTCAGAATTCAGGAATGGCTAACCACAGGCTCCAATCTTTTATGAGAAATAAAGTTCTCCTTTCCAAATTATGAATTTCATTATTTTCTTCAATTGACAATAGTTACCATTACACCTTAAATGTGTATGTAATTAGTGACCTTAAACCTATTTGGTAAGGTAGAAAGTACAAATATGTAAAATATTAAAAAAGCAGCACAGACAGGTAAAAAGGTAAATGATAGATATGAGATGTCTCAATAGTCAGAGCTTCACTTATAAAGAAGTTCAAGAGTCTGGAGTTTATTTCTTTCTACTTTAGACTTGTTTTGTCCCTGTGAGCAATCATTTTATTCATCTAGGCCCCAATTTCTTCTTCTAATGAAACCTAATCTTGTTTTCCAGAAAGTTAGATCAGATTCAATATTTATAACATGCTTTAAAATCTCCTAGGATACAAATATCTTTATTGTAGTGTGATTTTTGGTCTTCTGGATATATACCTAATAGAGGAATTATAGGATCAAATGGCAGGTCTATTTTTGTTCTCTAAGTGTTCTCCAGATGTCTTTCCAAAAGGAACATATTAGTTTGCAATCCCACCAGCAGTGTAGAAGTGTTCCCTTTTCTCTACAACCATGCCAGCATCTGTGATTTTGGGATTTTGTCAGAATGTTCATTGCAGCCCAATTCACAATTGCTATGTCATGGAAGAAGCCCAAGAGCCCATCGACCCACGAATGGATCAATAAATTATAGTATATGTACACCATGGAATACTATGCAGCCATTAAGAAAGATGGAGACTTTACCTCCTTCATGTTTACATGGATTGAGCTAGAAAATATTCTTCTTAGCAAAGTATCTCAAGAATGGAAGAAAAAGTACCCAATGTACTCACCCTACTATGAAACTAATTTATAAGTTATAACCCAATTTTAGCACAGGAATATGGGGAGAGGAGAGGGGAGGAAAAGGGGGAGGGTGGGTGGAGAGTGGGTGATTGGTGGGATCACACCTATGGTTCATCCTATAAGGGTACATATGAATCTCTCTAAATGTAGAATATAAATGTCTTAACACAGTAACTAAGAAAAAGATATTAAGGGTATGTTAACCAGTTGGATGAAAGTATTTCAAATTGTATATAGAAACAGTACACATGATTTAATAAAAAAAATCTCCTAGGATAAATTTTAAAATAAAAATAATTTTTAATGAAAGAAATATAAACTCAAAAGATAAATGATAGACTGCTAAAATATTTATAATTCACAGGACAATTAATGTCCATACTGTATAAAAATTCCTCAAGAGGCAAGAAAACAACTGAAAAGAAAAATAGGCAAAGGACCTACCAAGCAATTCACCCAAGGAGAAATGCAAATTTTCAATCCACACATATAAGGATGTTCAGTATCACTCAAGGTCAGAAAAAGGCAAATTATCCTTCTAAGGAGATAGAAGTCTGAGGTCTCTTATCTCCAATCCCAAAGTCCAAAACACTTTGAAAAGGTTTTTCCCTTAAGTTTTGCATCAAAATTCACTTGGTGGCAATATCAGATTCAAATTGAAATTAGACTAGTCTTTATTTATTACAATTAGTGTGAAAATACATATTTCCCTACAGAGCTAATAAAGTTTTTGATTATACAGTGCTGTCCTAGACCCAATGAAGGCATAATATAATGTATGCTATATGCAATGTACCAAGTCTGAAAATCTGAAAAATTTTTAATTCTAAAGTTGATCTGGTCCCAAGGATTTCAAATGAGTGATTTTAGACTTGTGTCATCTTTTACCCAATATACATAATTGCATGATAAGGAACATTTAAAAAAAAAAAAAACATTTGTAGAGGGGAAAAAAAGACTGAAAGGCAACAATCCAATGGTGACAGGATGGTGAGAGTATGGGTGACATTCTCTCCAATTTTCCAAATTTTCTAAAATTAATATGTATTATTTATGAAATTGAAAAAAAAAACTATAAACATACCATAAAGGGGTAGAGATACTATTACAATGTGCTTTTATTAGAGAGGAAGCTGTTATTAATACCATACCTGTCTGATCATGCACTGTAGCAGTCCCCTCATCAGCTTCACTACACTCTGTAGAAATAAATGGAAACAAGACAGGTATAAACATCCTCAGATGCAATAATACTTACTCAGCAACTGCAGTTGGTACATGACCTCTAGAGAACAAGTAACACTATCCTGTGTTCCTACTCACATGGCATTTACTTTATAGGTACACAGAAGAGCAGACTGCAGCTAAAAGTGGAATCAAAAGCTACAGTTTGTGATTCCTTCAAGCTAAAAAAAAATCCAAGCTCTAACAGGTTTATGTAAAAATAAGCCAACCTCCCTGTTAGAGGTCATTCTACCTGAAGAAGAGGGCAAGTCAGTTCAAAAATCCCAAGGCTCTGAGGATATTCTAAAACACATCCTATGGTCTAGAAAGGCTTCACCACAATATCACCTTTATATGTTCTAAACTAGCCAAGACATATCTTCAAGAGTCCATGGAAATATTTATTTGGGCATTTCCCCTAAAGAATAAAGTAAAATTTCAATTCAGAATAAATATAAAAGGGGGATTGATAGTATGATTCAGCCATTTCTCCATGAAAAAATACATCACAAATTCTTTAAGTTTCAAGTCATCACTATTTTTCTTACTAAGGCTTGACAATTTCTTAAGTAGTTTATTTTCCAATCATAACATTTCAAATTTTATGTCACCAACTATATACAACATGTCAGTAGAAGGGGTCATTAATAGCAGCATGGATAGGCAATATGTTTTGGAAGAACGTAGTACTGAACAGCTTCTCTATTTTTGTAAGAAGCTTTTGGTTTCACAGTTCAGAAGAAATCCAACCAGGTTACTCCAGGGAATGCTGGCTCAGGAGTTGGCTTCAGGAAACCTCTGAAAACTGATCTACTTAGAAGCCACATCATCCTGTTACTTCTTCAAAACATTCAAATGAAACTGTAAGCAACAGTCATGATAAAGTAACCTATAAAAGTATGCTCAGACTCTTTATGAAGTCTTTTACTGAGGGAAAAATAAAAATTGATTCCTTGAGAGAGCCCCCTTCCTTGATTCATTTCTATCTACAAATGGTTCCCCCTCCTTATAGGTCAAAAGAAGAAATTTTCAAAAGGATGAAGAACAGATAGTGCATGATCTTGACACATCTTAAAGCCTGGAGCATTTATAATAAAGTAATGAAATTGACTGTAACTCCTACAAGAAAATCTCTATCATTACTTTAATCCTAATGAAAGAGACCATCCTTTTAATATATCCTGTTATAGAAAGTATTCAACACAGCCTTCTCTGTGGGGAGATTTTATCCACTTCTGATACATGTAACTATGTACTCTAAGGCTTCTACCACATTCTTTCCCAATATTTAGGGAATTAGAGTGGAAAGCAGAGGCAGGGATTTGAATAGTTTTTTTTTCTTTAAATAAGTGGCCCAAAGGAACTCATTTTCAACTTTTTATTTTATTATTTTTTTAAGACTGGGTCTTTCTCTGTAGCCTAGGCTAGATAGAGTGCAATGGTGTCATCATAGTTCACTGCAACCTTTAACTCTTGGGCTCAAGAGATCCTCCTTCCTCAGCCTCCCAAGTAGCTGAGACTACAGGTATATGCCACCATACCTGACTAACTTTATTGTTTCTCAAGAGTCTCACTTTTGCTCAGGCTGGTCTCAAATCCTGGCCTCAAGTGATACTCTCAGATTCATTGGCATGAGCCACCATGCCAGGCCAGGACTCAATTTTTATACCAGTCTCTAAGAAGCTTGCATCCTGGGTTCACTGAATTGCCTTCTTTGTTGTTTTACTGTGTTAGTAACTTTCTTGCCTACCCATCAACCCTTGTTACCATCCAATCCTTCTATTCCCATCTAAATTTTCTTTAACTTAAATGGCAAACCTGGGGAATCAGGAATCCAGCGAAGGATTCCTGACTGCCATCCACTTTTGTCTTCCTGGAATGGCCATTATTAGCCATTTCTGTCCTTAAGTTCTAATTTCCAACTCAAGATAAAATTAACAGGAAGAATGGGGAAGTAGGATTGATCAGTAAGTATCTGTACTTTGTGTTCCCCTGAACTGGCTGTTTTCTGATGCACATACATTAGGGGGCATTAATCATACATGTACTTTTATACATTAGGGCTTCTATCCATATCAAGTGACAGTCCTTTTCACACACTCTTTTGAAAATACAGATTTATATATCTGCAAACTGACTATATAAGAATATATAAGTATACACAATCATATTTGTATAAATCTGTCTCTCCCCCATATATGTTCAGATATTTATTGAATTTCTACCAGGTTTTACAGAATATAAAGAGGGGGGAGACAGGATAGAGGGGAGAGGAGGGGGAGGATGGGTGGAGGGAGGGTGATTGATGGGATCACGTCTATGGTTTATCCTATGGGGGTACATGTGAGTCTTCCTAAATGTAGAATATAAATGTCTTAACACAATAACTAAGAAAATGACATGAAGGCCATGTTAACCAGTGGGATGAAAGTATTCCAAACTATATACAGAAACAACACATTGTACCCCATGATAGTATTAATATACATAGCTATGATTTAATAAAATAAATAAATAAATAAATAACTGAACTACAACATAGTCTACCCAGCAATTCCTAATTGTCCTTTAAAATTCCAATCCTCTATGAAGCCTTACTCACCTTGTTAAATGGAAGTTTAGACATTCCCAGCTCTGTGTGTGCCCACAGAACTTAGTAATTATCTACAATATATATAGTACCTACTATAAAGTACCTATCTTAATACATTATAACTATTTGCTTATATATTTGTCTCCCCTACTGGACTATGAACCCTCGGAAAAAAAGGAAAAGTAATCAGGTTCAGAAGTCAAAATATTAAGCAGGTTGTATTAATAAAGCAAACTCATGTCTGCCAATTAATTCTCAAATGACTTACCAAAAAATCATATATATGTGTATGTGTTTGTGGAGTGTAAATATGACAAAATGTTAATAAATAGTGAATTTAAACAAAGCATATATGCAAATGTGTTTATTTTACTATTAATTTCTCAAGGTAAAAAGTTGAGGGTTATAGATAAACATTTTGTCTCATTTTCTTATATATATTATAGGGCCTGGCACATGACAATTACACATAATCTGTTATTTGAAAGAATGAATATGTAGAGTGGCACAGACCATAAGTGATCTGGAAGGTCCATAAAAGGAGTCCTAAAAAATAAATGATAACTGTACAATTGAGCAGTCTTATGGGGACTATAGAAAAAGTGGGATTGCCTATAGCTAAGGGTATTCTTAGTAATAAAAATGAAGCTGGAGGCATCACCCTGCTGTACTATAAGTCCACAGTAATAAAAACAGCATGAAACTGGTATAAAAATAGATACACAGACATATGGAACAGAATAGAAAGCCAAGAGATGAAACTGGTCTCTACTTGCCATCTGATCTTTGATAAATCAAACAAAAGCATACAGTGGCCTGGCCAGGCACTGTGGCAGGTGCCTGTAGTCCCAGCTACTTGGGAGGCGGAGGCAGGAGACTCGCTTGAGCCCAGGAGTTGGAGGTTGCTGTGAGCGTGATGCCATGGCACTCTACTCAGGGGGATAGCTTGAGGCTCCGTCTCAAAAAAAAAAAAAAAAAAAAAGCATACAGTGGGGGAAATAATTCCTATTCAACAAATGTTGGTGAGAGAACTGGATAACCACCTGTAAAAGACTGAAACTTGACCCATACCCTTCACCACTTACAACAATAAAAGATCTGAATCTAAGACATGAAATGACAAAAGTCTTAGAAAAAAGTGTTGGAATAACTCTTGAAGATTCCGGCCTGGAAAAAGATTTTATGAAGAGGACTTCCATTGCAATGGCAACAATAAAGAAACGGGACTTAATTAAGCTGCAAATCTTCTGCACAGCTAAGGACACAACAAGTAAAGCAAATAGACAACCTTCAGAATGGGAAAAGATATTTGCAGGGTATGAATCTGACAAAGGGTTGATAACTAGAATCTATAGAGAACTCAAATTAATCATCAAAAAAGAATAAACAATCCCATCTACCGTCGGGCAAGAGACATGAACAGAACCTTCTCTGGTGAAGACAGATGAATAGCTAACAAACAACTGAAAAAAATGTTCATTGTCCCTCATCACCAGAGAAACGCAAATCAAAACTACCCTGAGATATCGCCTAATCCCAGTGAAATAGTTCACGTCACAAAGTCTGTGGAGAGAAGGGAACACTTTATACCGCTGGTGGGACTGCAAACTAATGCAACATTTTTGGAAGAAGTATGAGGAACCATCAAAGAACTCAAATTAAGCCTCCCATTTGATCCTGCAATCCCATTACTAGGCATCTACCCAGAAGAAAAGAAATCATTTCATCATATGGGCATTTGCACTAGACTGTTTATCTCAGCTCAATTTACAATCACCAAAATATGGAAACAACCTAAATGCCCACCAACCCAGGAATGAATTAACAAACTGTGGCATATATATACCATGGAATACTATTCAGCCCCTAAAACAGACGGAGGCTTTACATCTTTTCTATTAACCTGAATTTAAATAAAACACATTCTTATTAGTAAAGTATCACAAGAATGGAGAAGCAAGAATCCAATGTACTCAATTCTAATATGAAGCCTGTAGACTCTATAATACATACCCTCATAAGAGAAAAACTGAAATCAATTCAAGGTAGGGGGCAGGGGAAAGAGGGAGTGGGGAGAGAGGAGGAGGGAGGGGAATGAAGGGTCACAGTGTATGGCACACCTCTTGGAGGTGGGACACAATTATAAGTGGGACTTTACCTAACAAATACAATCAGTATAACCTAATTATTTGTACCCTGAATGAACCGCAAACAATAAAAAAAAAAGAAAGAAAAAGTGAGACTGGTACTGGACTTTTAAAGAAGGATATTATGTCAGATTGGAAAGGGACAGGCACATAGAGGAAAGAGCATGGAAAAACGTTTGGAAGTGGCAATGTCTATGGCTTCTGTGGGGGCAAAAATCCAAGTAAGTCTAAATATGAAGTTCCAAGACCCAGGTTATATTCATGGCACCACCAAATTCCAGATTCATCTCTGGGCTTCAGTCCCTTTACTTGTCAACTGGGGAGCATAATACCTAATACACAGGGTACTGTGAGAACAAAATACTGGTAATTACAGGGAAGTGTATTATATAATGAAAAGTATTTACATAATAGATATTTTTTAGTAAGGGATTGTTAGAGGAGTAATGAAGACAACAACCTGACTGGAACTGGGGCACCAGTATGATATAATATTCAAAAAGTTGACTAGAACTAAACTATAGAGATCTGTGCCTATCAAACCAAAATGTTTAGACTTAACTTGTAAAAAAATGAGAACCATAGAAAGATTGTTGATGATGGAAATGACATAACATAAGTGTGGTTTTCATAAAAGTGTTAAGTGATAAGGGTTTAGACTAGGGTTGAAGAAGAATGGAAAAGAAAGGAGGGGATGGATTTAAGAGAAATAACAATTGTCAGACTTTGGTCTGCATGTATCAAAGAATAAGAGGAGCAAATCAAAAATCATCTAAGGGTCACTCTTTTATAGAACACTAAGTCCAAGAAATTCTAGAAAGGCTGTAAAATTCACACCATCTTAGATTCAAAATGTACCGTTAGCACACCAAATGATTTAGTAAATTATGTAGTAATGAAACTTTCTGCTTAACAGAGTCTCAAACTTAGGTGGCCTAGTGTTCCAGAAAACACAATCTGGGAAATACACCAAACATTGCCCAAGTGATTATCAGAATGGAGACACCCATAACACAAAAAATGGATACTTGGTGAGTTGTTCATTGGTAGTTTGTTTTTAGTTGGGAAGGTGGAGTTTCAGACACACTGGAGTTTGAGGAGCCACAGGATATGCAGGAGAAACTGGTAACCAAACAAATGAGTACCCAGGTTTAACACTAAAGTGAGGTCAGAATTAAAAATAAAGTTAAAAGGCATACTCATAAAGGAAATAGGAAGTCACGAGAAAAGATCAAAGACTATATAAAAGAGAACAAAACTGAGGAATAAATAGAACTGGAGGCAGCCAAAGAGATATCCCTAATTGTATGCCTATTTATTTTTTATGGGTATGAGACTGTATCTATGTGGTTAAAAGGAAAGAGCATTTGTTTAAACATACATGTGCATAATTCTATATTCAACCAAGGATGTAGTAGACACCTTAACTCTTATCCCCTTTTCATCCAGAATTCTCCTTAATTCTCTGGCATTATTTCTCAGAGAGAAACCAAGGGGAGTTGGAAGGATAGAAATGATTAACAATCAATGCTTTTGGAAAATACACATAGTAACTGGAAAGTTGCCAGTAAGTGGAATTTTAATCTTCACATATACTGGATTTAATCTTGTTCATTAACTGGCTATAGATCAGTTGTTATTAACCCTGGCTGTACATTAGAATCACTTGAAAAGTTTTCATAAAAATATCAATGCCCTATTTTAAGAGATTCTTATTTAAACTATTTTAAGATTGGGTCCAGGAAGGGTATTTCTTTTTTTTCTGAGATAGGAGCTCACTACATTTTCCAGGCTAGCCTAAACTTTTAGGCTTAAGCAATCCTCCCACTTCATCTCCTGAGTAGCTGGGATTACAGGCACCAGGTATTTTGTCTGGAAAGGATATTTCTTAAAAGCTTTCTAAGTAATTCCAATGTACAGCCAGAGTCTAGAATCATTTATCTAGATCAGGAACAAACTCAGTCTATAATAAAGTTTTACTGGAATATAACCACATTGCACTGTTTATACATTATCTCTGGCTGTGTCTGTGCAACAACCTCAGAGCTCAGCAGTTAGGCAGAGGCTGCAGAGGACCTATAACATGAAATACTTACTATCTGGCCCTTTATAGGAATAGTTTTCTGGCCCCTGGCTTAGATTTATGCTGAATTGGGTTCAAGAAAAAAGTTAATGAGTCCTAATAACAAAAATATAGTAGAACCTTCATAGTTAACCACCTCCCTATATTGACCACCTCCTTAATATGACCTAATTTACCTAATTTTTATAGACCAGATCGGATATGTATCAACTGTATGTATCAGTATGGTAGGCCTTGTTCCTTATGTTGACCACTTCTGTATATTGACCAGTTTGTTATAGTCACTTGGGTGGTCAACTTATAGAGATTCTACTACATATAATATATATATATATGTGTGTGTGTGTGTGTGTGATGGGTTCAAACCAGGCCCGAGGCAAAAACTGCAAAAAAAAATAATATATATATTATATTATTTTTTATAATATATTTTATAATATAATTTTATATTATTTTTTCTTGCAGTTTTTGCCTCGGGCCTGGTTTGAACCCATCACCTCCAGTATATGGTAGGGCTGATGCCCTACTTCTTTGAGCCACAGGTGCCACCCATCTACTATATATTTTAATTTATAATGTAAGTTCATAGAAATTTTAGAATTCTCACGGAATCTTCTCTTTTTGAAAGATGTTTTCTAGTACTATAATGTTTGAAATACAGGATGGCCACCCTATACTTTAAAGTGACAGTATTTGGGGGCTATGTGAAAAATTATATAATGAAAAATAAAAAAAATTAGAATGGGCAATTCAGTGTTTCCCTACTTTTTTCCCCCTTTCTCTGTTAAATTTTTTCTACCCTGACAAAATAAGGAAAAATGTCCATTTTGCAGAATTGCTGATAAACATGGAGACAACATATTTCTTCTCATAGCATTGAAAAAATAGTCAAATTGTACCTGATATGAAATTCCAGTTCTAGTAATATTAATTTCTAGCAAAACAAAACAATAAAATATTAAGATCAAACAGCAAAACATCATTAAGAAGAGGATGTAAGATTTGGGAGCTGGGTAGAATTACAGGTGATTTTTTAACATTATTATATTTTCCAAATTTCTACAACAGTATATTTTTATAAAAGTCTTAAGAATATTAATCTGTACTACCTGGGCTAGAGCAAAAATGCCAACAACTTTTTTTGGGTAGACCTATATAACTCTCAGTAAAGGACTGAAGGAATAACAAATGTCTGCTGTTGCTGAGGACAGCACAGTGAGACTTTTTTTCTATTGTTAAGAAATATAACCCTGGACAGCACCTGTGGCTCAAAGGAGTAGGGCACTGGCCCCATATACCAGAGGTGGTGGCTGGTGGTGGGTAGTTCAAACTCAGCCCTGGCAAAACAAACAAAAAAAAGAACTGCTACCCTTCTTTATGTTGGTACTCTTAAAAATAATCAAATCCCAATATTCTGATTTACAGATGAAGGCTGGATTTCAGACTGCCCAAGACTGAGGGAGACTCCTAGAGAAAATGGCTGGTGTAGAGAGAATCTTTCCCACTAAAGGAAAATATTCCACATAGATCTTATAACTGACAGCTAAATACTTCAACATTAAAAATCCCACATAGCCCAGAACACTGTTTTCTTGGTCATTTAAGAGGATGTGCCTCCCCTTGTGTCTGTACAGTTCTATAAAGGATGTCTGTTTACTGAAGGGAAATGCCCTAAAGCAGGGGTTCTCAACCTGTGGGTCGCGACTCCTTTGTAACAATGAAAATACATCCTGTATATCAGATATTTACATTACAATTCATAACAATAGCAAAATTACAGTTATGAAGTAGCAATGAAAATAATTTTATGGTTGGGGGGGTCACCACAACATGAGGAACTGTATTAAAGGGTCGCAGCATTAGGAAGGTTGAGAACCACTGCCTTAAAGGCATCTGCTGTATCTGACTTCACTTTGCTAGGGCAGAGAGATACAGGCTCTGAAACATTTGCCACAGCTATAAAAATCAACAAATAAAGTCTTTTCTTGTGTCTAGTCCAGAAAGTCTTCTTATTAGGTCAGTTGCCTTCATACAAATACCACCCATCATTTTTTTAAAAAAGAAGTAAAATCATATATAACTGCCCCCAAACATTTTCTCTCAATGAGAATATAGTGGACATCATAAACTACATTTACTTAGAAAGAGGATTACAAATTTTAGGAACGATTCCAGGATAGAGGCTCAGCGCCTATAGCTCAACCGGCTAAGGCGCCAGCCACGTACACCTAAGGTGGCGGGTTCGAATCCCCAGCCCGGACCCACCAAACAACAATGACGGCCGCAACCAAAAAATAGCCGGGCGTTGTGGTGGGCGCCTGTGGTCCCAGCTACTTGAGAGGCGGAGGCAGGAGACTCGCTTGAGCCCCGGAGTTGGAGGTTGCTGTGAGCTGTAATGCCACAGCACTCTACCCAGGTTGACAGCTTGAGGCTCTGTCTCAAAAAAAAAGATTCCAGGATAGAATTTTTTTTTTTTTACTGCATTAGAACATACTGTACCCTTTCCCCCTGTATAAGCAAGTTTCAAGTTTCTACTAAAAAAAAAAAACAAACAGAAAAAAAAAAAAAAACTTCAAGTACACTATACGAAAGCCTTCTGGAATATAATTTTAAGAAGATGAAGAGAGAGAGGGGGAAAGTATGATATAGTTTTCTTAGCTTCTGTGGGTTACATTTCCTTTAATCCCTGCTCTTCCATCACCCTCTAACCATACACAGCCACAGATTGCTTTGTATTTTTAATCTGAGTACCTGCTCCAGTTCATAGGCCTTTGCTTTATCCTCATCCCGGTCCGCATTCTTCCGATAAGCCAGGCCCAAACCCCACACAGCCAAGACACTGTACACGTTATCTCGGACCCAGGCATCTTTCTGATCAAAGCTAGCTGGAAGCAAGCCAGTCACTGGATTCTGTAAGGCCAAGAAGAAGAAGTTAGGCAGATAACCATAGGGCTTAATATTATGAAACAGCCTACTGAATAAGTTTCTTAGAACATTGGTCTTTTTTCTACTTCACTTTTAAGTTTTATAACCTCCTTTTCTTGTGAACAATTTCAAGCTAACGCTATCTTCCTACCCCAACTCAAACTTTATTGAGGTACAATCAACAAATAAAAATCGTATATTTGTACATTCGAATCGTATGATTCGATTTATGAATTCATTATGAAATGATTACTACCATCAAGCTATTTAACACATCCACCAAGTCATATAGTTACCCTTTTTGTGATTAGAATACTCGATATATTCTCTCTTAACAAATTTCAAGTATACAATACAGTATTATTTACTACAGTCATCATACTGCTGCATATTAGATCATCAGAAAATATTTATTTTACTACATATAACAGGAATTTTTTACCCTTTGCAAATGCTATCTTGAATAAGGGGGAAGAGAGGGCAGAAGCTATACAAAAGACTAAAAAGTATTAGTAAAAGAAAGTCATTATTAAAGGTATTATTTAAACGCATTATTAAAGCATTATTAAAAGGTCTTAAAGGGTATTACTACAAGAATGTTTAACTTTCCACTTAGAATGAACTACTAATAAAACAAACCAGCAGTAAAGGAGTTGAAAAAATATAATTATCAATACATATGAAGTGCCTCCGACCTTCACAGTAGTCCAGGCTTAAAATAGCTAAATGTTCCTCTTTCTCTTTTCTTTGGGGGAAGGGAAAAGCAAAGGAGAAGACACCCAAACATGAGGGTTAGGGGTGTCAATAAACAACACTTCTTGTAACTCTGCTTCTGGAATCCAGCTGGGGGTGGGGTATAGAAGGAGGGCTCAGAAGCTATGACTATAGCTTCTTGTCTAACAATGTCTGACCCTGGTTCTCAAGACCTACCTTTTCTTTAGGGTCCTTTACCACCTCCCCTGCTAAGGGGCCAGAGAACCTGCTACAGATGTACACAGATACACACACACAAGGGAGTTCGCCCAGCATATCCGTCCAGCATATCACACTCCACATCGTCGGTGATTACAGGCGAGACCCCTACACTTACCTGATGGCAAAGGATGGTCTGATGTACCAGTCGAGCGTAGCTGTCCAGTCGGACTCCCGAGTTACTCCGGCTCCTCATCCCGCAGGGTTTCTAATCCCCTCAGAGAAACAGCTTCGGCGCCACAGAGGCCCTAGTACCTAAGGAATGAGGCTCCAACCCAGCCCCACCCTCGCTGTGAGAAGCCGTAGCGCCAGGCCCAGTAGAGTCCTTCCACCGCTCTGGCCTGGGCTGCCGGTTCAGTGCAGTGTTCGCGGCGGCGGACTCTGGGGGCCCACCACACGCCAGTGTGGACCCGAGCCTCCCGTGGTCAAGGGCCCTGCCGCAACGTCCCGTCCCTACTCTCTGCCACCTTAGTCCATTCCTGCCTCCGCGTGTGGCTCCTGCATTCTCCCCCAACTCCAGCAGACCGCCGCAGCCCAGAGCCTCTGACCCCGCCAAGGCCAACAAGGTCACCGACTGCGGCGCCGCCTTCACGTTGCAAGGAGACGCAAGGGGGAGGCGGGGCGGATGGGGTGAGTCCGGCAGCTGCGCGGTGAGCCCCAGGGACTAACTCCCTGAGCTGCCGAGAATGTGTCACCGTAGGCCAAGTGCTTTCCTAGGTTTATTTTTGAGACACCTCAAATCACTATTTTGGTTTTCCACACTTGCTGTGCACACAGGATTTTGAGAGGGCTGTTTGTTCTTCTCTAGGGCTAGTCTTAGGAACCCATGGTAAACTTCAAAATTGAAAGAAATATTTGCCTTTAAGGTCTAAAGAATTGAATTTCCAAGTCTTTATTATATTTTAGATCATCCCAACCCAAATCAAGCAAGGAAAAATTCCCTCTGGTACTTTAAGGCTTAGAAATTGCCCATTTGGCGGGCTGGGAAAGAGAAGGCAGGGGTGCTCTCCCAGAAAGCGAGTGCCCCAGGCGGGTAACTGGGCTGGGAGCAAGCAGCGCCCTACAGCAGCCTGGGCTGGCCGAGAGCTGGAGGAGATCCTATAATGACTTTGAAAGGTTTCCTCAAGCCCACTTAGATCACAAGCCTGAGGCAACAAAGACTCAGATGAAAATAAAGGAGAAAAGGAGGCGGGAAAAGAAGTTAATCACTGGCTTCAGGTGGCAACCTGCAGGGTGGCTCTGGCCCCAGTGTCTTTGTTCCCTCCATCTACTGCGCCCCACCACCCACCCCTTGCTCCCTGCTTATACAAATCCTGTAGGTCTCTCAAGGATCAGATTACAAATCACCTACTCTCTGAATTTCTGGATAAGAGAATTAGACTGATCGACCTTTCGAGTTCTAAGCCTTCCCTAGCCACTTCATCTAGGACACTATGATTTTACATTTATCTTTTTATTTCTCTTTTCATAAGTTCCCTCCCTCCTCCTCCCCACTCAATTTAGCATAGAGCCAGGCACTCTGGAGCTGAGTTGTAAATATTCCTAATGGTGATTATGAAGAAGTAAGGAATGCTCAATAATTCAGATCTGGAACTTTGAGTTTCAACAGCCAGTCAGTGATATGATTAAAGTGGTACACTTAGAATTCTCTAGGCTCTAGAGAGGCCCTAGAGCAGTGGTTCTCAACCTTCCTAACCCTTTAATACAGTTCCTCATGTTGTGGTGACCCAAGCATAAAATTATTTTCATTGCTACTTCATAACTGTAATTTGCTACTGTTATGAATAATAATGTAAATATCTGATATGCAGGATACATTTAGGCGACCCCTGTGAAAGGGTTGTTCCGCCCACAGGTTAAGAACTGCTGCAGATTACTTTTCCATCACAGTTATTAGCTATGCAAATACAGTGACTAGCAAATAACTTCAAGCCATAGGTGCACAGGGGGAGGAAAAAGTCTTTCCAAAGAAAGTGAGTTCATTTTGGAGGAAAGGGCACAGCATCATCCCTGCTTTGACCCCAACTCCCTGACATCTTCCCACTCAGCCTACTGTGTAGCTTCAGAAGACTTTTCTCTATCCTTGCCCCCTGCAAGCTACTGCCCTCTTTTTCTTCACCTCACCATCTTTAAGCATGTTTACAAAATACTAAAGTAGTACATGTTCACTGAAGAAAATTTTGAAAGTATAGAAAATACAAGAAAAAAAAAGATTAAAATCACCCCACAATTTTTTTCACATAGCCACCTGTTACTTTTACTTTATTTCTTTCTCAACTTTTTATTCCCTCCACATGGACTGTCACCCCCTCCACCAAGTTGTTTGTTGAAGTATGACTAGATTAGTTATGCCACAAGTTGAGTGTTACTGAGAGAGGATACCCCAAAAAAGTAAGGTCTAAGAGAACAGAGGTTTTCTCAAGGAGATCCCAAGGATACACCTGTGAGGTCCTCCCCGTGGTGACTCAGCTCTTAGCAATTTGTAGAAAATTAACTCTGGGACCTGGAAACTAATGCTTGCTTCTGCTTCTGCTTCTGTAAAAGCCCATGGATCTGTAAAAGATGGAGCCCACTTGTCTAGCTTGATTCAAACTGACCAATGAGAAAGGAATCTGTGGGCCGGAACTTTTGACTGGGAATAAAAAGGAGATTGAGCTAGCCTGGGAACTAGACCATTTTGAATTCAATAAAGCCCTTCTTCTTTTAAACACGGTATTTGGGTGTTTGTTCTCTCCACTGGGCCTCGTCTTCCTGCAATATTTCTAAGAAAGATAGCTGGCAGGCTATAAAGAGGCCTTACTGGATAGGATTGCCTTGGTATTTTCAACTTTAGTTTATTCTGGGCCTTTAGTCTTGCAGTCTAAGAAACTTGGTATCAATGTCTAAGAACTGGTCAAACTCAGGAGGCTGACTTGTGTTGATTACCTTATAGGAACCTGGTGTATAAAAGCCAGAGTGCTGGTTTATATTGGTCTGACTACCACATTACCTCACATTAATAATGTGTAAGCCTCACTCCATACCAGGTGCAATTTTGTTTTATACAATATTGCTATTATGAAGACACTGTTATTAATTCCATTTTAGAGATGGAAGGGCACTTGAACATTAAGTAAACTGATAAGTCTGTTCTGTCCATATTAGCTTTACTGACTGTAACATATCTGCAGTTTCATGACTCACTAATGCATTCTTTCTTTAGATATGTCAAAATTATCAACCACATTATAGATAAGTCTTGCCAGTCTGGAAGCCATTATGTTTCCTGAAAGTGATTTTTCCATTTGATTCATTCCATAATCATTTTATACTTTAACTCTCAAATAAAATTTTATTTCCAAGTCCATGGCAGCATTTTTTTTTTTAAAAAAACAGGGTCTCACTATGTTGCCCTCTGTAGAGTGCTGTGGCATTACAGCTCACGGCGACCTCAAACTCCTGAACTTAAGTGATTCTCTTGCCTCAGCCTCCCAAGTAGCTGGGACTACAAGTGCTTGCCACAACACCCAGCTATTTTGTTGTTGTTGTTGTTGTTGTTGCAGTTGTCGTTGTTTTTCAGTATGCCCAGACCGGGTTAGAACCCACCAGCCTCAGTGTATATGGCCAGTGCCCTACCCACTGAGCTATGGTTTTGAAAATCCAATAATTTTAAAAGCTCACATTTGACAAGTATTTACCATGGTTTTATATTTTATGTTAATGTCTACATCAATCTTCTCTCTAGTAGGTATCCCATAGTTTGTTTAGCTATTCTCTTATTGTTAAGTAATAATAATTTAAATTTCTTGAAGAAAATAGTCTGAGTACTATTGCCTTCCCTTTATTTTCTATTCATTGTTTTTAAAATTATTTAAAAAATTTACACAAATAACATATGAATGCATTTTCCATGAAAAAAGTTAAAATATTACAGATAATGTTTCACATGTCTATCACCCTCTATTGACAATCCCCTTTCACTTCCTTCCAAAGGCAACCACAATTACTACTTTAGTATGTATCTTTGGTATTTTTTAAATGAATTTACATATATATGTAGAAATGGAAATGCATATAAAGTTGCATATAAAAGTGTTATTTTCTGTATATTATTTTAATATAAACTATATTATGCTGTACCTACAGCTTTGCAAATTGCTTTATCCACACCCAAATGATGTCATGGAGATCTTAGAAATTTAATTAATTTAGTACTTTAGTTAATACTTAGAAATTAATTAATTAATTAAATTAATTATTTTAGTTAATACTTAGAAATTTCTGATACATCATGGTTTATGTAGGCTTTTCTCTATTGATGTACATTTAGTTTTCAGGTTAGAGCTCTTAAAAACAGGCTCGGCGCCTATAGCTCAACCGGCTAAGGCGCCAGCCACGTACACCTAAGGTGGCGGGTTCGAATCCCCAGCCCGGACCCGCCAAACAACAATGACGGCTGCAACCAAAAAATGGCCGGGCGTTGTGGCGGGCGCCTGTGGTCCCAGCTACTTGGGAGGCGGAGGCAGGAGACTCGCTTGAGCCCAGGAGTTGGAGGTTGCTGTGAGCTGTAATGCCACGGCACTCTGCCCAGGGGGACAGCTTGAGGCTCTGTCTCAAAAAAAAAAAAAAAAAAAAAAAAGAGCTCTTAAAAACAGTACATCAGTGAATATAATACATGTTTTCTTGTGAATGCATGCAGATTTTCGAAATAGGCATTTAAAATTTTGTTATAGCCCCAAAGCCATTGAAACTATTTTCACCAACCAGCAGTGTTTGAAAGTCCTCATTTCCCCAGTCTTATTAGTACCTGATATTATTAAACTTTAAATGTGATCAATATTATGGATATAAAATGATTTACTGTATTTTGATTTTCATTTCTCTGAATACTAATGTTATTGAGCATCTTTTTATATTTGTTTTATTTGATTTTTGTTTATTTATATTTGTTTAATTTATTTTATTTCCTTTTTCTGGTTCATACATGTTCATATACTTAGTGATTTCTCCACTGAATTGTCTTTCTCTTATTGAAGTGTAGAAATTTTTAAAAGTTATATATTCTGGATTTTAATTTTTTTCTAAAAGAAATCTAAAAGAATATTGAACATTTTTCATAAGTGGCTTTCCTATTAAAATTATTTATGATGTCTTTTTTCATATACTTTTTTACAAATGTTAACATTTATCTTTATTAAAGATGTTAGATTTCCTGATTTTTATTTATTCATTTATTTTTTTGAGATAGAGTATCACTTTGTCACCCTCAGTAGAGTGCCCTGGTGTCAGCTCACAGCAACATCAAACTCTTGGGCTCTAGCAATTCTCTTGCCTCAGTCTCCCAAGTAGCTGGGAGTAGAGCCACAGGCATTGCCCCACCCAGCTATTTTTTAGATAGAAGGTCTTGCTCTTGCTCAGGCTGGTCATGAACCTGTGAGCTCAGGTCACCCACCTACTTCCGCCTCCCAAAGCATATACCTTTCATTTTTAATGACGTCAAATTTATGAATCTTTTTCCTTTTGTCTTAATTTAGAAGGCTTTTGTAGTGGGTTGATCAGTCCCTTCTGA